ACCTGTTTAGTGATCCGTCTACGGGGTCAGGGTTGAGGCAGGTTGAGGCAGGTGGGCTGGTGCCAGAACAGCGTATCAGAAAGCGAAGCAGGCGATAACTTGCAACTAGTGGCTAGGCAACGCATCCTTTATTTCTTTCAACGCTAGTGAAAACGCGTGCTTCTCAACGGCAGTCGTCGATCCGTCTTAGTTCAAGGAGTAACTGTGATGAGACGTCACGTGAGGGGTAGGGCTGCTTGCGTCACACGGGAATGCGTCTGAGGGCTTTCTCACGGAGATGCTATAGACATAAATTCCTTTCCCTGCAATATTACACGTCTGTAAGATTTGTTCCATCGTGCGTCTTTTTTTTTGTGGCTTGAAGCAATGCCGCTACCACCTCACAGAGCTCTTAACGTCAGCGCACTCAATCGCATCGCAGTGACGCTTCTCCATTGATGCCCGCATAACGCCACGAATGGCAACACGCTATCCCAAAATACCGTATTTTCTACAGAGTCAGCGTGACCGTTAACATTATGAACACGATGAATGCAAGATGCCACCCCACGGATCTGTACATAGCTAAACAAAAAATGACTTCATATGATTACCGTCAGGAAGCACTACATAATGGGTTCTCTCTCCCACGACTGCAAAGCTCACGCGAAGACTAAGCTGTGGGAGAGAGTAGAAAAGGGCTAAAGGAGAAGGTGGTGAACAGGCTGTATCGGGCGAATCTGGCTGGAAATATAGAACTAGAGGAGGTGTAGGGTGAGGCAACGCGTGGTAGCGTCTGCGGGACGCGAAAATGTTTGTTTGCATTAGACAGATTGCGGCCTGCTTAAACAACTCCCCTGATAAAAGCCACCTAAAACCACACTGTCCTTATGGGTACTTGAAATACGTGTATCAGACGAACGGGTGGTTTAAAAGTTATGTAAGGTGAATATAACAGTGCAGAAACATCGATTCTGGTCGCACTGTGGGCACGTATGTGTAGCAGAGCTGTGCCAGGGTGACGTTGCCAGTCTGTAGAAATTTTGGAACTTCACTAGCACTACATTGATATCGTTCTTATCGACCACCTCTTCAAACTTGAAAGTATTCTATTCCTTTCTGCCATCTTTTCCCAAAAATACGAGTAATGTCACTGCTTGCACTTCTTGCGGTTGCTTTTTCCTGTTACCTGAGTAGCGGTGTGCCACAGCTCGAACACACTTTTTTATGTGGTCCATCCTAATCATGCGTCACCAGATATGCTCGAGGGCTTCGGAAGAGGAAGCAGTGTCGTCAGAAATGTCAGGCCGAACGGGCACTGCTGCCACCACGTAAGCAGGCCGGTAGTTGAACACGGAAAACAATTTATTGCAGAAGGAACAGTGGTCTTGTATTAGAGAAGACGTGACGCAGAGGTCATGTGCACATCGTGCTTCATGCTTGGCCTGGCGACGTCCCGCTGGCGCAGCTTTGCAGAAGTAAGTTAAACCGGGGTACGTCCACTCGAAGGCCCACGAAGCATCAGATGTAATGAGATGAAGCTTACCCAATATAGATTACAAAAACTGTTGTCCGATATTTCAATGAAATATGTAATTCCAAAAACCTCAGAATTGTCATTGTACCAAAGGAACGAGCAGGATTTCGAACAGGCTACTCAACAATCGACCACGTTCATACTATCAATCAGGTAATAGAGAAATGCTGAGAATACAGCCAACCACTATACATAGCCTTTATTGATTACGAGAAGGCATTTGATTTCGTCAAAATATCAGCAGTCATGCTGACACTGAGGAATCAGGGCGTCCATGAAGCATATATAAACATCCTGAAAGAAATCTACAGGGGATCAACTGCTAACATAGCGCTTCATAAAAACAGCAACAGAATACCCACCAAGAAGGGTGTAAGGCAGGGGGATACAATCTCCCCAATGCTATTTACCGCGTGCGCACAGGAGGTTTTCAGAGGCCTAGAATGGGAACAGTTAGTGGTAAGAGGTAATGGAGAGTACCTTAGTAACCTGCGCTTCGCCGATGACATTGCATTGCTGTGTAACTCACGGGACGAATTGCAACTCTTGATTACGGAGTTAGACAAGGAGAGAAGAAAGGTGGGTCTTGAAATTAATCTACAGAAAACGAAAGTAATGTACAACAACCTCGGAAGAAAGAAGCGCTTTGAGATAAGTAATAGTGCACTTCAGGTTGTAAAAGACTATGTCTACTTAGGGCAGGTAATAACCACGGAGCCGAACCACGATTTTGAAGTAACTAGAAGAATAAGAATGGGGTGGAGCACATTTTGCAAGTACTCTCAAATTATGACAGGTAGATTGCCACTATACATAAAGAGGAAGGTATATAACAGCTGTATCTTGCCGGTACTTAGCTACGGAGCAGAAACCTGGAGACTTACAAAGAGGGTACAGCTTAACTTTAGGACGACGCAGCGAGCAATGGAAAGAAAAATGGTAGGTGTAACCTTAAGAGACAAGAAGAAAGTAGAGTGCATTATGGAACAAACGGGGGTTAAGGATATCATAGTTGAAATCAAGAAGAAGAAATGGACATGGGCCGGGCATGTAGCGCGTAGACAGGATAACCACTGGTCATTAAGGGTACTTAACTGGATTCCCAGAGAAAACAAGCGGGTTAGGGGAAGACAGAAGGTTAGGTGTGCACAAGAGATTAAGAATTTTGCGGGTATAAATTGGCAGCAACAAGCACAGGACCGAGTTAACTGGCGGAACATGGGAGAGGCCTTTGTCCTGCAGTGGACGTAGTCAGGATGATGATGATGATGATGATGATGATGATGATGATGATGGTGTTGATGTCATTGTACCCTTCTAGAGCGCCATTACCGTTCATGAGGAGGCGTATACGAGTACTTAGTTTTTTGAAATCTCTTAGGAACCGAATTGCACGGTTGAATGGATTCTGATTGAATTTGTAATGTCTGCAATCACGAAGGCAGTGCTAAACCAGGTAAGGTGCAGAAAGTTGGTAATCCTTCAGATCACGCAGAAAGACACAAGTTCTGATCAGTAAGTTTGGTATTCTTCGACCACCCAACTTTTCTCTCAGCTGACAACGTGTGAGACCGAGATTTCAAAAAGCACGTTGTTGGCCCCTCAGATATCTGAGACGCATATAAAATGTTTGAAACCAGCAAGGTCTAATCTGTTTCACGTTGTACTTACAAAATGTTTGCTTCGGAAAAGTGGTTTTGTGTTTCCACCATCATAGGCGTGATCACATACTGCCAGCCGTACATGCAGAAATGTAGTGTAAGGTGGCAGTAACTTTTAAAAATAACATGGTTTTCATCAAAAGCGCGAGATTTTGAGGGCGAGAAATGGTAAATACGAGAACGAATAGTTACCCAGTCAGAGTTGTGCCGCGTTCACGTTTTTTCTCTTCTTCATTGCTTACAAACGAACAGCCCGGAAATAGTGAACACTTTTTATTAAAAAACAATGGTTTTTCTCGCACAAAAATGTGGTTGACCTAATTACACATAGGTCTTGAAGAACTAGATGAAATGATAGAAAGAGCAAGGTTGAGTGGAACCGCATATTTCAGGAAGCTCCTCGTTCTTGTAGGTGAAAATGTGACATGAAGTAGCATATGTATTCACCGCATTCGGCTAAGTCACATGAAAATGTTTGAAGACGACCTGGAGCGGCAAACTACCTAAGTTTTTTTATATAACTTGGGTATATTCGTCAAAATCAAGTGGTACAGTTTAAGTGAGCGTGTCCGATCAATGCAATGAAATGTATTCTCTGTGCAACTACACATAAGGATAAGTTCTTATTCTTGGCTGTTTCCTTGGCCATCGTGAACTCTTGTTAGCGGCAGCATGTGTCTAGCATCCAATTTATAGCGCATGCAGGACGGGACAGAGCAGCAAACATATAACATATACACAGCTCTTACTTTCAGCAACAGTTTATTGCGACAATCAACAGTACTTATACTTTGTATAACCCTGCTGTATGTCTCTGTTAAAGGGCGCATTAGCTCCATTTTTACACAATGTTTAATGCTGTAAGAATATCCTTCGCGTGCTTTTCTTTTTTTTCTGCAACAGCTTTTAGGAATGATTTCGAATATGTGACATACTAAATGACGTTTCATTGCGAATATCTCCATACACTGCCTGCAATGCGTATCAATGGACTTACAAATATTCATAAAAGAAGCGATAGTATGAAAACACGAACACAACTCAAGAGAACAGTACAGCCCACATGCTGCCTTGCTTATTTTCTTCTGCTGTGAGTGTGTACGCTTTCACATATTTTAAGACAGATCCCTACCAGTTAGATGAACTTTCTCTCGCTCTTCGAATAAGTATTACGGACAGCCGGATCCATATATTGTGAATTTGTTGCTCTATTTTCGTGATTCTTACTGCGCTCGAAGCTTTCCTGCGCTCGCTCGCCAGCGCTGCAGACCTGACTTGTGGCCGTGTAGCATTACACCACTCAGTCATGTCACCAGGCGTACGCCTTGTATACATCAAACAATACTGCATGGCGGTGACGCATCAGGAAGGCCTAAACTGGCTGTCGTATCAGAGGTGCGTTTAGTCTGCCCGGTCAGTATAATAAAGGAACAGTTCATTTAAACGAGCGCAATAAGGATCGCAGACATTCTACACCACATATGTCGTGAGTTGGGCAAGTTGCTACATGATTAAGCACCGAAGCTTTCGTCCAGTCAACTTGTTTTTATGGATTAGTATAATGTTTCACCTGGTCTTTTATTTTCTGGAATACGCGACGTAGTTTATGAAACGTACGGGAGTCTTAATACATTGTATTTTGTCGTGCTCAGTATTCCAAAAGCACAGCCTAGGTCACCTACTAAAAACAGCCATGTGCTCACCTATGCATCTCTGGATGCACATCGTTGGTTTTTCCTCTTCACCAGTTGGCATTCAGAAAAGCAAAAAAAAATATATGAAAGTAACATGGTCTCAGTGCCTAAGCTAGTGCCTAATTTCAGATTCTGCTTGCAATCCTCATCTCCTGGGGAGCCTGCTACCTGATGACCGAAACGGAGTATCTGCCTCCCGGTGATCCCGCTCGAACGGACCTCCGCTCCAGTATCATAGAGAAAAGTCCATGGATACGAGTGCCGTACCCAGGTGAGCAAGGCCCTTGTTCTATACTTTTCGTCACGAAGATCCCGAAAAAAAAAGACAGTGTGGTACGTTCGTATTGATTCATTTCAGAAATGGCTCCACAAAATGTAAAAAGTTGTCGTCTCCTCGATTCATTCTTTTTGGTTAAATCTTGCTCCTGCACGCCTAAAAATTTGAAAAAAAACTTATACATTGTACTGGTATTCTAAGAAAAAGGGACGAAAGAATAATTCCAATACCTTCTCTTTTTTTAGCCGCTTGTACTTAACGTTAGGCGCATGTTAATGAACTCCAGGTGGTTGAAATTTCCGGAGCCGTCCACTACCGCGTCTCTCGTAATCATATAGTAATATTCAAATCAAACTTTATTTCGTCCACAAGCTCTTGTATTGTGGAACACGAGGGCTGAAAAAAGTAGATATTTTCACTTGGACCACTTGGATAATATACGAAGTAGTCCGTCTGTATCATGCTTATACTTTCTGGCTAGATTTAATAGGTAAAAGTTGTGGACTGATGAGATATTGTATTTGATAGAGAGGGGTTTTGTGAGCGCACTTTTATGAACACGCACAATGTGACGTAATGCGTTTTTGAAATTTAGGCAGCTGGCTGAGGTTTCTTAACGTACTTGTGCCCCAGACTACACGGCAGTAGATTAAATGGGAAAGAAATAGTGCATTCTGAATATGAACTTAGTAGCTGGTGGCAAGTGGAATTCAAATTTTGCCGAAATACCCACTACATTTCCTACCTAACAACATGCTTACCCTGAATGTCCCAAGATAAATTCTTTTGAAATTTTACCAAAAGATTTTACTGCGTCAACAATTTCTATACGCGAGTTTTCTAAAGTAAGATTCAAGATGGATGGTTCAGATGATGATCGGGTGGTTAAGGTAACGGCTTTCGTTTCGGCTGTTCCAAGAGAAATGATTAGGCTCCACTTGTGTAAGTCGTAGAGAGCTCTGTTAATGCTAAAATAAAGAGTATCATAAGAATTTCCGCACATTGAAATTGTTGTATTATCCGCCTAAGTAATGTATTTTTCTCCGTGTTCAAGTTCTTAAATGCCGTTTATGTACAAGTTAAATAGCAGTCGTCCAAGAATCCTCTCTCGAGGTACACCTCAGGCAATCGCTTTGTGCCGGCATAGATCGCCTTGAATGCTAACACATTACATTCTATGTTGAAGACAGGACGTTATATGTACGAGTGGTGTGCCTCTATTTCCATACATTTGAAGCTTTTTTTCTCCGTGTTAAGTGGTTTAAAAGGTTCATTGCCTTGAAAAAAATTATTGTATATACCAGCTATTAGACTTTTTGAATCGAACGCTTTTAGGATGACTCCTTTTCACATGACAAAGGCAAGTTATGTTGATCTCGCATGTCTGAATATGAATTGGGTAGGGCTTATTAAATTGTACTTGTTTGCAAACACACTTACTGTGGCATAAAATCAGGGACCTTAATCCCAAGGTAATATTATTATTTTTTTCAGGGCGAATAAATGGCTAAAAGTAAAAATAGCAGGATTACATATAAGGGCTCGAGAGGTAAACCAGTGATGAGCCCGTTTGCCTGCCTATTTCTGTCTAAACTGAGATTTCTACTAATAAAGCATGTGTCGCACGTGATCCACGTGCTGATATCTATTACACGTCATGCATGTCTTGTTGTATATTGCGATACACGCAAATGTATCCGATCCCAACAGACGTCCTTTTCTTTGGAAGAACGTCCACACAAAGGAGGGCAGTCCTCAAAACTCACGGCAAAAACTGCCCTCACTGATGTCCCCAAACATATAACCTTCTAACGGTGCAGTGGAAAAAAGTCAACGCCTGCGCTAACTTAATCGAGAAAGTAAACGTCACGTAAAGTCGAGTGGAGAATGTCAGCAGAAGAGCATTGGCGGTGCTGGTAATGGCTTGGGCCTCATGTGGACCGAGCTCGATGTCGACAATTTCATCGGACACGACTACGCCTGTTCGACGCTGCTGGCTGACCAGATGCCCTCAGTCAGCAAACAGCGCGACCACTTTCAGGAGAACTACGTTGCCTCTATATCTAAATTGCTGAGATCGTCCCATCCAGTTTTTGAAGGGCCATTGTCATTGGGACTACACTCTGTCGAATTCGCTTTTTCTATTGTGTGGCGACTGTTCTTTTCATCTTTTTCTTGCGAACCCTTGTGCGGTAAGTGCTGTTCCGCACAAGTGAGGTGTATTGCAGCACTAAACGAGACATGATTCTACAATAGTTGTAGCCTTTCGAAATATCTGGATAGCAGACAAATAACGCGCGGGCATCACAAATCTGATTGTGTTAGCGTGTAGACGTACACGTTTAGAGGATACGCCAGTAGCTTCCGAGAGGAAGCAAACGACGCGTAACTTAGTTTTCGTGCATTAAAGAAAAGCTCAGAAATTCGCTTCGGAAAAGTACAGCTTTTTCAATCTCGTTTTAAGCTGGCATCGGTCATGCTTGTTATATCGAAGTAAGATTCACGTGATGCTGCAGAATTTACTGCCAGGGCTCTAACCGGGTATGTCGGGTGTCACTGCTTTCAATGCTCCCCTATAGTGTCCAAATATCTTGCATAGAAGTATAGCGGTGGTTGCCCCATACACATAGCAAACGAATGTGTTGTATGTCGCAGGCCAATTCGGTATGCCCCGGGTGTCGATAGGAGTGGTTCTCGGCATGCTTTCGGCTATCCTCTCTTCTGTGGTGGAGTCCGTGGGTGACTACTACGCTTGCGCAAGGCTCTCACAAGTACCAACTCCACCGACGCATGCTATCAATCGCGGCATCTGGATGGAAGGGCTAGGATGCATCGTTGCCGGCATCTGGGGTGGCGGATGCGGACTCACCTCATACTCCACGAACATCAGCATCATTGCCGTGACGAAGGTGGGCAGCGAGTCCAATGTACTTCTGAGAATTTTTATGGTCATTTATTGTAAAGAAGAAAAAGTAGGTGGGCAACTTTTAGGTCACCCAACTCTTTCAAACTGTGTGCTTCAATACCATTGCTGCCATTTCATCTCGCCATCACCAAAGGGACCCTTGACTCCTCACTTTCTTTAAGCTTCTCGAAACCTGTGTGTGCGTGTGTGCACTGTTTTTGCCCCCATGCACTTGTCTTGACATCATGGAATATAAACTCTATGTGAGCACATTTCTTCATGTGTAGAGCGAGATGGGAAAGGGACTGTGAAAGAAACTGAAATCCCCAAAGCCATTTATTGATAGTGAAAACCAGACCACACAATAGACACATGCACAGTGAAGTGGAGAAAAAAGCACCTATTTCTTGAAACAACACATTTGCGAAAAGAGCACTGAATTAGAAGAAACTCAAAGCAAGCAAGACTCAAGGCCTAATTCAAAACTGCCAAGGTTTTGTTACTTTTTTTAGGTTTAAGATTGTGTTGAAATTCAGTACTAGTTTTTCACATGCCTAGTGCGTGTATGCAGTACTTAAGTGTGCCTTTTCAAAAAATGAAGTGTTTGGATATAAGTGCTTTTTTATGTACCATTGACCAAGTTTTTGTATTGTGCTCGCTGAGCTACCATGTATGGTATATCAAGTTCATTATAGTCCTAATACACAGCTTTTCAATTATTTTAACTACAGCATTGTTTTCACAGCAGAAGTTACTGGCACATTTCGAGTTCTAAAGATGAAATAAATTACATCCTCCGTTGCCCTGAGAACCTAGCTGTCCCGGCCAAGTGCTACCACAGTCCTTACGAATAGGGCACATGAAGTTGAAGAACTTTTTGCTTGTATTTTCCCAGGTGGCCTGTCGATCGGTGGTGCAGTGGGCAGCCGTCTTCATGATAGGCTTCGGTGTTGTGGGTAAGATAGGAGCTCTGTTCGCCACCATCCCAGATCCTATCATTGGTGGCGTGTTCTGCGTCATGTTCGCCATGATTGCCGCCGTCGGTCTGTCGAGTGCGCAATGCGTTGACCTCAACTCATCCAGGAACCTCTTCGTGCTAGGATCATCACTTTTCTTTGGCCTTATGGTGTCACATTGGACTAGTCGCAATCCTGATGCTATTAAGACAGGTACTTACCATATATTTCTGATGTCATTGCCCCAAGTGTTACTGTTCGCGCAATTTCTCTTTAGTATGTTTTATTGTGTTTTTAAGTGTATATTTCTGCTTAGTGTACAATAAATCTGTTAGGCTCTGTGACATACACTGAACAACCGAATTGCTGTATAACTTGAGTTGCCCTAAGCGAAGAAGGAGAAAAAAAGAAATCCTTGTATATTAAGAAGCGCGCACCTTGGCTGAAACGCTGCACTTGGGAAACTGAAATGTCGATATGATGGCGTATTCAATTCGTCACTGTGGACCTCTGGCTCAGAGTCACCAGATGCAGAGGCAGCTCGCAAATGGAGCGCGAGAGGCAGCGTACCAACCGAATGCACCAGAAATCTTGAAGCGCTTAGAGCAGCGTGGCAGTAGCGCCACCGTGCAGCCAACGCGGGAAGCAGCCGAGTAAACAATGCTGCGTTGCGTCAACAAATGGTGTCGATCAGTTCAGTGAACATCCTTGACATGTCTGACAATTCTTATAATATTACTTTCTGTCTGACATGTCTGGATGCAGCGAAATCCTTCTGATCTCAGCGCATAAATCTGGCGAGCGTTCTCGTCCCAGCTGCTATCTTCAAGGCGAATCACGAGGTCGTCTACGAAGTGTTTTAACGATAGCATTGACGTTTCCTTCACATTCGGTAGATGCCTGTTTATTGACATGGTGCATTTATGGCTTCGTAGATGTGAACTAGCCCCACACAGGCGCCAAAACGGCATTAACAACGCACGTTCACGATGTAAGGCACATGGTGATACCCCCTTCCGAAATGCACGCTCGCGGTCCTCACGTTGTTCCCTGCCGGCAGCCACTTGATTGGCTGATTTGTGTCACGTGATCTCTACTCCCGGTCAGATAGCGCCACGCTCTCACTTCGAAGTCAGTACGGTCGGAAGCACTCTGAGTCAGAGGCTGACGCTCTGAAAGAACCAACCAAAGGTGGTCCGAGCGTTCCGATTCTACCTACCGAAGGCCTGGCCACTTTTCAGAACGCAGAGCGCTCGAAAACGCCCAACCGAATACGCTCTAAGTAGCATCATTAACGAACTATATGGTTAACGGGTGAAATACCTAGATCTTTTTATTGCACCACCTCATAACTTAGGTATGTTTTGATTTGCTTGATGTACCATGCATGACCCATCAGACATATTCATTGTGAATCATTTAACAATTTCTCAGCGGCTTGCCATTATGTGATTGATTGAGACGAAGTCTCCTATGGCTTGGTCTGTTTTTTTTGTGTGTGGCAATTATCAGACTGTATGTAAAAAGAAGTCTAAGAGTAAACTTGGCCACCTTTTAAAAGTATTGCAGCCTGGCAAACTGCGAGATTCGACAGACTTTTCATACACATGTCACCACCCTCCCCTACTTCCTTAAGAGCATTATCTTAATGATAACTATAGTTTGCACTTTGGCCGGTTGTATCTCTTATGTCTTTTTTTTTCTTAATTGTGTACATGAATTGCATCATTTTTTCTACAATAAAGTGTGCAAATCCGTGGAATTTCAGTCACTAATCTTGAGCTATCTTATATAGGGAATACTACGGTATGGTTGAAACTAGTGTACGGCGACCGAATCCGCGACCAAATATTCTTAAACACATTTTCGGCCTAGAACGAATTCTGAAACGTTAACCCGCTTTTGTTTTCAGATTACGAAATTATTTAAGCACTATTAGTCCAATCCAAGCAAATCTTATACCCTACCTAACTTCTGAGTGTTGCATAAATTTTCACTTGATCCCAATTGTGTGGTTTTCTGTCCCTACCGTATAGCTTATTCGGCGGTGATTATCTGCCCCAGTTACATGTGGCAACTGGTCACAACAATATCAACTTGTATTCGTTTGTTCCCAAAAATAGGCACTGCAGTCTGAAATGACCCCGAAGCTTCAGCCGTCTCCAAAATAAATATCAACGGGTTGAGAGCATTTTTTCCTTTTTATCTTTGTGCAGCAGTGGTGTACGTTTGTAAAATACGTATATATTCATGTTTTACGTGTTATCGTGACACCAGTGCTGTTATTTATATATCTAAGAGAATAGAATTACCGTTTGTGCATCTACTCGAATGTTTGTTCCTCCACGTTGCAGGCTATGACGTGTTGGACCAAACTATCGTGATTCTGCTTAGTACGAGCATGTTTGTTGGTGGATTCTTGGGAATCTTTCTCGACAACACAATACCAGGTAAGTGCAATTTTTCACACTTTTGTAAACTTCGCATTATTTTAAGCTTATTACGTCATCTACGTGATTACTAGCGTAAGGCTCAATCAATGCTAGACAGTATGTGCACACTATACTTTACGTGTATGTTAGATTTATAGATGCCCGAAAGAGTAAAATAATTTTTTGTATGCGGTAATTTAATTTTCAGGGTACCATTAACACCGTGCTTTTGGCGAGAAGATGCTTGGTAAGCGATAAAATGCGAAAAAATTATGGGTGGCGAAGCCACTTCACATTTTCCGGCCCCATTCATCGTGACGTCACATATTTTGACGGCGCTAGTTCGAAATCTGTAAAAACGAAGAGAAGTGTCTGCTGAGAGGGCCGTAAACTTCACATACCAAGTTTCAGAAAATGATCTCGAGCTAATTACATCAAATTATCTTATATACATTTTGTAATCTGTGACGTCTCTCGTGAAAACTCAGGCGCGAAATTTAGAAACAAAATTTTGAGCCAAATTTTTGCTTCTATAACAAGTATGATATATTATAATGAATAAATAATTTATCAATCTAAACCACTTCATTCTTTATCTTCATTGTCTCTTTAACGCATATGACAAGTGTGCAAATTTCATCTATATATAAGCAGTTGTCACGGTGTTAGGAAAGCTGTGAATATGCGTTCGAGCATCCAGGGTTTATAGCAGTATACGTAAATGTTCAGTGTCTTTTTTTACTGCTTGCTGCTGGAGCAAGTAAGCAAACCCATAGTACTCTGAGCTTGTCCGGGTACTCATGTCAGAACTAGCATTAGGCATTCACGTTGATAGTTATAACTTTTCTCAACTGAGTTTGTAACTCGCAAAACGTTCTAACACGCATTAGGTAAAAAGTTTCACCTCTAGTGATCGTTAAGCAGAATTATTCACCAAGCACCAACGCTTCCTAAAAGTGTGTGTTAAACAATGGAAAAGAATGGCTTGCGGCAAACTTTTGCTGCCAAGCCTTCTTGTCGTAAACTGAATATCTTTTGATGTAATGTCGCATATTCTGATGTAGTCTTTGCAGAAGCCCGTATATTTTCTCTCCCGAGACACAAATCCAGACTGTCACATTTTTGGGGAGCCTCGAAATTCTTTAAAATTTTGGCCTCTGTGGTGTTTTGCTAAAGAGTAGTGCACGGCGGCGAAATGCTAAAAGAATAGCTGTGATTTCGTAAGAAAACGTGTCGAAACTGATTGCATTTCTTCTTTTTGCTCGGCTGCTGTCAGGCAAACGTAATGGGAGCCAGCCGAACTAGACGCAGATCTTCGCCTAGTGATATCAGCGACGAATCGATTTGGCGCTTGCGTGAAATCAAAGTAAGATTTACACCATGAGGCGAAACGAAAGGAGTGCTCAGAGGGAATGACTTCTCTCCTGCACAGCGCCGAGAGTAAAATCAACAGCCTCAAAGTGCGACTGCTCCAGGGCGCTGCTCTGCTAAAGCACCATATGAATTCACATGTCGTCATCCTTGCGTAACATGCAACCCCGCTTTGGTTTCAAAATTATTTTGCTGGAGCAGCATAATGAATCTTGTCCTATTCTGCTCGTATTTGTCTATCTACACGCAGTTTACCAATGTTCTGCAACTTTTTTTACACTAGTCTTTTTTCTGTGAAGTTTAGAGGGCCGGGCTCGTGTTTTAAATTATAAATAACAAGCGCAACATCTAAATTTTTATTCCTTTTTTTTAATGTGCATACAAGTGTTCCCCCATGAATGTCCCTGTTGTAGCGTTCTGAGAAAATATACAGCAGTTAAGAAACAGGCAGTTCTTGCACTGGTGACCTCTGGCGGCATTTCCGTAAACATCGCTTTCAAACTTCACTCCAAAGAAAAAAAAATTAAACGCGCGGAGAAACACCTACGAGGCATCGAGCCAAAAATACAAACATGTGTTTCACACTTTGACGTCTCGTGGCCTATACGAAAAGAAGCCCGCGATTTCAACGACGTGCAGATGTGTTTGGGCTCCAAGGTAGGCGTAAGAAAACGACCTTCCTTCGCCTTCTCTGTCAGTGAATAAAACCTGCGCGTTGGTGATAGGGGGAATAAAATCTCTTTTCCAAAAGACTGGTCCTTTCAGCGCCACTGTCAAAAATCTGACCCGTATGTGTGTTCCGATTACTTTTTATACACAAACGTTGCGCCAGTGGAGCATACTTTTTGAAGTGTTTGCATCAAAAGCGGCGTATGGATAAACCGGCATTCATTCCTACGCACGCCCAATTTTGAGCGAGCGCTAGAGTCAGCATTCTTTATCCTGCTCATGCCTTCAAACGTGCTATTTTTTATTGTAAAAGTGTAAAAGCCAGCAAGCTTTCGGTAAATCATAGTTTATTTCCGGGCTATCCGCCGACTTAATACAACGCTCCTTTGGTGCACAGCTTCCTTCCGCTACTTGATCAGAACACATCGATGCCTACGTAGCTGTTCTGGAAAACTCTTTAGTGGACAATAGTCACTTTCGTGCTCGTGTTCAAGAGCAAGAGACGCACACCCAGACCAGCACACACATATTTCACTCTAGAGCGCATGCAAAACAGCTACAGAGCTCACAGTCACAATTGCACTGACGGCTTTGTTACGCCTACATTATCGGCAACTCGTGTCTCAATTTCAGCTGCCAATGTAAAAGCAACTGAACAGTCTGAACTTCGGGTTGCTTTTAACTACTTTGTTGACCAGACAGCCGAGTCTTCAGTCATATTCACTGACTAAAGAGCTGTGCTGCAGTCTCTGAAGTCTTCACGCACACAATCGCAACTCATTATGGACATCAAACGCTTCTGCAACAAACCCTGTGACTTCCATCCGCGCATTGCTCTGAAGTGGATACCCACCCACTGTGGAGTACAAGGTAACCTCTGGGCTCAAGACGCTGCCAAAGCTGGACATGTCGCATCGACTGAAAATATACAGAAATTATCACAATATTTCAGGCAAAAGGCTGCGACTCTTGTATCGATTCACGCCTGCCTCCAACGATCTCTCTGGACAAGTGCCAGTCACCAGTATGGGTGTCTGTACAAGACCAATCCATCGTGGTACTTCACTATGCCGCGAGAGATCAACAGGCCAGAGGAAACGTGCTTACACCGCATCTGATTCTAATCGCATACACCAATCACTTTAGCTACAATACTGGACTGTTGAACTTACCATTGTGTGTCCGATGTAACATCACAGACGATCTAAATGACGTCCTCGGCGAATGCACGTTATATACGAAGGCTGAAGGTGGACTTGAATCTTCAACAGGACTCTAACTTGGAGTTGACACATATTCTGGGCTCATGACAAAGAATCTCGAGTGCGTTACGTGCCATAAAAGCACTGGTGACTTTCTTCTGGGCCACAAGTCTGGATGAAACTTCGTAAATAATGTAGTCTACGTGTGTTGCCGTATGCGTTGTGCGTTTATCACTCTATATATCACTAATCATCACTCAACACATGCAGAAGCACTTCAGCCGAAGAGCCAGTGAAACATCTCCAGCTATTCATTAAAATATTTCCCTCTGTCTTTCTCACTTTAAAATAACCGGTATTCTACCCTCCACTGGGCAAATTGAGCGATGAGATATCTGAGGTGAGAATGAGTTATACTAAGCCCCACCAAGCAATACGAAAGAGATGGAGGTTACAGCGTCACAGTCCACCAGACTTGGGCGACATGCAGCATAAACGGTGAACTTTACTTACACAACCCCTTGCTTTCACCGAGAAGTGAAGCTGATCGAATTCACACGCGTGGCAAAACCGTAATGAAGTAAATTTAAACCACGCAACCATTCTAAATTTTTACTCGAAAATTGTATGTTTAGTTAGCACTTTACAAACCACTAATTGGGTATCCACTGCTTGTCGGAGCATAAGTTGTCATCATTTCTCTCAATGTAATCTTGCTTAGCTGTCTTTAACGCAAACGTGTCACTTTGCTGTAGTTTATTGACTACTGTTGAAAAAAATGACTGTAATATCGGTGAATTGAACGCAAATTCGGTGCCAACCATGGTTCGAGGTTGCGTAGAGTGATTAATTTCACTTTGTGTCCTGAATGCACAATTATGCAAATCACTTCCACCGCAGGTTGCAGGAACATCACCATTTAACAGCACAAATTGCTAACTACATCATAGTAGCATGGTACTAAATCTGATACAAAATTTATGAAGATGCAATGAGAGCGTTCAGATCGAACACTTCTGCCACACCCTGCAACTAATCAACCATTATAGTTCAAAACTGTAGTGACCATTGCAGTATTGCATTTGTCTTCGATTCAAAATTAGGACCACCAATTGCTTTTAGGAGCGAAGCTCCTTAGACTTCACGATGTTTGTTTACGCCTTTGTTGTAGATTCCCATCAAGCCGGAACACAACTGATGCTACATATACCACATATATTGTCTGTTTTACATCTGAACTGCTTCAAATCTGAAGTACTGGTGACCGCCGATAAGTCACTCGGCTATATTGACATATGTTTTGAACTATAATTAACAAAACAGACAGTACTGCGGAAGCTTTTGCTTGTTCGCCAGATTTCCATCACTCGGCATCGGATCATCACGTACGACGACGCCCGCCCCATACACCAGCAACCTCACCATGTGTCAGCAAGCGAACGCAAAGCGATTCGTACGCAAGGGCTAGAAATGCTTTATGACCGTATCATCGAGCCTTCGAACAGTGCCTGGTTATCTCCGGTCGTCTTATCCAAACAGGCAGATGGAATGCTGAGTTTTTGCGTCGACTTCCTGAAGCTGAACAATGTTACTAAGAAGGACGTATACCAGCTGCCACGCATCCACGACTCGTTAGATAGGGTAGATCACGCCCACTATTTTTCTCTTTGTATTTAGAAAGCAAGTACTAGCAGATTGAAGTAGACGAGACACCGCAAGAAAACCGCTTTTGTGTGACCCTCGATGGTCTCTTTTAATTTCGAGTTCTTCTTTGTG